TTTTTAAATATAGGAAGCAGTATATTTGGTCAAACTAAAATAAAGTGAACAAAATCAGTGAACAACAATATATCTCAGATACAAGTTTATAGTTTTATATTCAAGTCATTGATGCATATTAATAATAACCTCTATACTTTATTGTAAGTATTATTTAAATTTTTAAGAATCATAATTAGTTATTTTTAGCTAATATGTATTATTAAATATTAGTAGAGAGATAACATTAGTCGAATCTGCTCAGAGAAAATGAATTTACAAATTTATTGGCTTAAATAAGAATAAAAGTATAATTGGTCATTGTTGTGATTTGATAGTATGTGATCAATATGAATTTGCCATTTAATTGGTAAAGTGGGCCACCTTTGAAAAACTTCCCAATATAGATCGATCTGATCTTGGCAGAAATAATCGCAATGCGAAAGATGAGAAAAGTCTATGTGAATTAGCTTTAGTCGCAAAATTTGGCCCAATTATAAACGAATCAGATTTGAAGATTTTGGGTGAAATATATGTATTTATGATCCAAGTGAAAAGTATGTATTTTTCGTTAAAATTTTCATTATTAATGGTTATTAATTAATATATATACAGAAAAAACGATAGAAACATCAGTGTTAGATCACATGGTGGATAGTATTTATTGTTCAAGACTTTTGAATTAATTGTAAGTACCGTGATACTTATATTGGCAATTTTAAATACTTAAAATATGCGAAATTTACCTGTGACCTATATAGGTTGCGATTGATGAAAATAATAGTAAATTAAATAAGATGATGAATACACCCTCAAGAAGAAAGCAAGAACAGAAATCTAAAAATAGTGATATAGATTTTGATGCTTTAACAATAAGCGAATCAGCAAAAAAATTAGTCCTTTCACAAGCAATTACCACTTCAACACCAACATCATCGCCATCCCATAATGACGCAACTAGATCTCAAAAATCTTCAATAACTGATTTATTAGAATTATTATTAACTCCAGCATGGGCAAAAGAGACCTTTAAGAAAATAAATACCCTGCTTTCATTAGAAATAGTTGTTTTTACAACAGAAAGTAATATTCTTCTTACACCAGATCGTTTCCCTAAATTTCGGATATTCAAATTTAAAGAAATTTTTCAATAAACATAGCAATTATTCATATCATTGTTAATGTGGATAATTCTGCAATTAGCAACTAAAATATAATAAATTGCAAGCTATCAACACTAATATCATAAAAATCGTTATCAGCCTGGACAATTGATTAAGATTGTAATCGCCGACAGCCTAGATTATGATAGAAAGTACTAATAGCTTTGCAATTTATACAACCAATTTTGTAAATAATCTTATTCACTTGTAACATGTGTATGCTCATTCAATTTCTTGTAAACACCATCTGATTGGTACTAACAATGTGCTAGTATTAAAAATAATTAACAAACCAGTAGGGTAAGTAGTTAAAAAATTATATTTAAAGATCCAAAAGTATATATATATATGTTTTATCTTTGATAATTTAATCCTATATTTTTTTATTCGATTGGACAGAAATTGTTATAATAATTCTTACCAAAATTATATAAATAATTTTGACAAATTCAGAAATTCATATATTTCTAATCAAAATTATAGTTTAGAATTTTATTTGATAACTTATATAATCGCATTAAAAATCGCATTAAAAGATATGTAAATTAGATCAAATATGAATTAATTCTCTCCTTATTTAGCATGTTTTCTTATGAACAATTAATATAAAAAAAGCATTCTAATTTGAGTTCAATATAATCGCGAATTAATAACAGACGGGTTTTATTATGGAGCCTATATGTTTTTATTATAATAATTAATCACTAATTGTGGTTACAATAATCCTCAAGAATTTTGAAATAGTACTTTTTTTTTTCGCACCAATGTCAGTATGGGTGTCTTTAACCATAAATCTGTAATTTCAGAACTTTGAACTTTCTGTCATGCATGTGACAGAAGTTCAAAGTTGCCTTTTTAATTTTTT